CCGTATAGAGTCCACACTGGGGGCCCGGCCTCCCGGAACATAGAGCCACGAGATGCCGGTGTCACCCGCCAGGCCGTATAGAGTCCACACTGGGGGCCCGGCCTCCCGGAACATAGAGCCACGAGATGCCGGTGTCCACACTGGGTTAGGGGCGTCAGTGGCAGATCCTCTCGGTCATCTCTCTCTGTAGATAGAAAGGTTTCTGGAATGATTTGTATTCTCGGGTCGCAGTGGAAGAGAACATACCGAGGGGTCAGAAGAGCCCAAAGAAGACAATACATCGCCCCTCTTATCCCTGCACTATGGGGCCCCTGAGAGGTGTGTATGTCATCCCCTCTTATCCCTGCACTATGGGGCCCCTGAGAGGTGTGTATGTCATCCCCTCTTATCCCTGTACGGGGGAGGCGTCTGATGTCACATGACCCGTGTGTGCGCCGTGTGTGCGCCGCTCATCTGACATGTGAAGGTTCCTGATGTTGGGGGAGGTGTACAGAGTGACAACTGATGATGATGTTGGGGGAGGGGTACAGAGTGACAACTGATGATGATGTTGGGGGAGGTGTACAGAGTGACAACTGATGATGATGTTGGGGGAGGGGTACAGAGTGACAACTGATGATGATGTTGGGGGAGGTGTACAGAGTGACAACTGATGATGATGTTGGGGGAGGGGTACAGTGACCACTGCTGATGATGTTGGGGGAGGGGTACAGAGTGACAACTGATGATGATGTTGGGGGAGGGGTACAGAGTGACAACTGATGATGATGTTGGGGGAGGGGTACAGAGTGACAACTGATGATGATGTTGGGGGAGGTGTACAGAGTGACAACTGATGATGATGTTGGGGGAGGGGTACAGAGTGACAACTGATGATGATGTTGGGGGAGGGGTACAGAGTGACAACTGATGATGATGTTGGGGGAGGGGTACAGAGTGACAACTGATGATGATGTGGGGGGGGGGGTACAGAGTGACAACTGATGATGATGTTGGGGGAGGGGTACAGAGTGACAACTGATGATGATGTGGGGGGAGGGGTACAGAGTGACAACTGATGATGATGTTGGGGGAGGGGTACAGAGTGACAACTGATGATGATGTTGGGGGAGGGGTACAGAGTGACAACTGATGATGATGTTGGGGGAGGGGTACAGAGTGACAACTGATGATGATGTTGGGGGAGGGGTACAGAGTGACAACTGATGATGATGTTGGGGGAGGGGTACAGAGTGACAACTGATGATGATGTGGGGGGAGGGGTACAGAGTGACAACTGATGATGATGAATGGAGACACTTGGATGGAAGCGGCCGGCAGTGAGCTGAACCTTAGGATTCACCCAACGTTCACTCATCTTCATCATTGGATCCTGGGTGAAAACATCATGTGACCCTACAGCCGGCCACCACCATCCCATTGTACAATCTCCATGGAGGGCGCTCGTCTGATTGGAGGATGTCATGTAGAATGTGGCCCCCGGGGTCAGACTCACCAGCGGTTCCAGTTCTCGATGGTCGATGAGGCTGAACTCGGTGGTGAAGTAGTAGAAGTGTTTGTAGCAGGTGTTGACGTGCGCCTCGGCTCCCACGCTGACAACGCCGTCAAAGTGATGAATATAAACGTGAACGAAGACGCGGAACAGACGAGTCAGAATCTTCATACAAACTTGCTGGAAGTTCCTGGGAAAGGGGACCCCTGTGTGTGGGGGCAACAAGACGGGAC